ATGTTTGTTTAATAGATTCCAATTTCCAGAAAATTAGTGACCAAAGGGCCATAATACAGAAGAACAAACTGAACATATCACTATCACAGGAAGGATCTTGAATCACTCCCTGCTTGACAAGGGGGAAACTGAGTCCCAGAGTAGACTTGCACTGGTGGGGACAAAGTTGTGCACAGGGTCACCTTTCAGTCTGTCTCCAGGTATTTTCAACTGATTCCAGGTCCACTTACCAGGTAACAGTTCTAAATCATTCCACCTGATTCTTAGCCTGGTAGGAGTCCAGAAAATCTCTGTGACCAACTGGTATTTGAACTGGAAAATCATTTTTCTAAAAGACACCTGATCGCTTTGCTGTGTCATCTCCTGGTCCCTATAGATAATTCCCTTCCACAGAGCGCAAACTGGGCCAAAGTCCCCAGGACGTCAGTTCTCTGTGTGGAGTTTCCAAGGCAGTGCCCTTCTGTTTCTGGCTGCTCTATTGCCCCTTCCAGGAGATTGGGGACACCCCACAGGGTCTACTCCACAAAGGCTCTTGCGATTTCCCACCTGCTTTCACAAGCCAGGGATCAGAGAGCCTGTAACATCTGCACAGGAATAACATTTCTAGGGGCAGCTCATTGTCCACGTTATCTCTAGACATCCACAACAGCATGGCTGGCTGCTCCTCTCTGCCAGGGAGAGCAACCAATAGGCCTAGAGGAAGGGCAGTACAGACTGTCAGCCCAGAACAGATTTCCACAGCACCTTTGGTTGGTCCTTCCAACCCAGAGGTGCCATGACAAACCCCAGGGTAGGCAGGCTCTGAGGGGCTTTGGGGAAACTGGGTGATGTTGGCTCCCTCTAGTGGCGTGTTGTCAGAAATTGAAAGTGGCTCTGTCCAGTGAAGAAGATGCAAAGGGATCTGCGGGACATTATAGAACTGAGAAGTGTGTCGCAAAGATTGTCACACAGTCACCTCAAGTAACACGTTCAGTTTGTAAAGGAGGCTGTTTGGTTTTCTCCATCAGATCGAGCACAGAAGGCCTGGCTACAGAGTCACTCCTGCTGACAACAGCAGGTCAGCTGCCCGGAGGACCAACAGTGCTGATGCTCTGCCCAGGCAGCCTCCTCCAGCAACTGTCACACTGGGAACAAACCACCTGCACTTCTCTGTGGATTTCTTCCCTCCATTAGTTAGGGAGTGTGGTGTACAGGACAACCAGCTGACCCCCAGCTCTGAAATGCTCTAAACCACAATGACTCCATAGCCATGACTCTAAAATGAGCTCCGTCTATTGCTCATCTAAGAGGAAGCTGAAGCATTGTTCATAGCCTCCTACGTTTTCCTGGAGTCTGACAGCGAGCACCTTCACGAACATTACAGAACTTTGCTCTCACAGCCGCCGTCTGACACACCTTATCCTGAGCCCTCCCACTCCGCCCCAGCAACCAGGTAGGTTTTGTATTCTGAGATGGAGCTAAAGAGAGAAAGATCCTCTTGTGTGGTCCACAAGGACTAAGGCTCCAACCCAGTGTTCAATGGGGTTCTTAGCTTGGCCTGGAAGCCCCGTGAAAATGAAGCAGAGGAACCCACCCTTCCTGGGCAGGAGGGAAAAGTCTATGTGACCCAGCCCATAATAGTAATGATAATAATAATGATGGTTAATGCTTACACTGGCTTACTGCCAGCCAGTCAGCACTCTACTTATATTAACTCTATGTCATAGGTAATCCATAAGCCCACCGTTCTTGCCCGGATACCAGAATCGTTGTAACAGAAACCAAAGTCACCGTTATTATAACTTCCTACCACAGAGTATCTAAACATCAAAGAATTGAAACAACATGGAACTCACTAGGAAAGAGGAAAGGGCTTTCATGATCTATCATGGACCTGGAAATTGGCTTGCCTTAGGTTGTTCAGGTGCAGTTTTAAATCTCAGAACTACAAAGCGGAGTTCCCACAAAGCGGGAAGCAACACAGGAGACCACCTGGCCCAACACCCCACTCCCCAGATAGACAGGAAGAGTCTTGAGGCGTATCATGCAGTGAGTTAGTAGCAGAACCAGATCTGGCTCCCAGGGCTACAGATTCTTGGCCCAGGGTTCTTCCCCCTCTACCATGCTGTGACTGTCCAGCACCTGAGCTGACGGACAGTACTGGAGTCTCCCCCTTGAGGGCTTCCTGCACTCCCTGGTTATCAGCCAGCCCACATGAGCTCAAGAAGCAGAATCCTTCTAATGCCGACCAAAGGCATCTAAACTTCTGTCTGGTAAATCAGTTGTCTGCCACCTTGCCCTGTAAACAAAGACAGTAATCATTCCTGAAATAACAGACACAGAGAGCTGGGACAGTCTGGGGCAGCCTGTGACAGCACTCCTGTCCACCACATGAGGAGGAACCTTCCTCCTTTATCCATCCACCCATCCACTCTAGACAAGACCTCCCGGGTCCGCACCAGAAACTTTCATCAGAATTCCCTCCTTTTCTCCAAAGTGACTTTCAGTTCTTTTGCTGGTGCCCACCATGCACCCCACCTTTTCCTCACCCATCATCTCTGCCCTGGACATTTTGACCTCCCACTTTCCATTTTGGTGTGGCTTCCTCCAGATGTGACAATACTCTGCCACTCTGTCACTTCCCAGTCAGAGTCAAGTCCCTGACATTTCCAGGAGTGGTCCTGGTGGAAAGAGAGCCTCCCCGATGGTTTCTCTTTTTTATACTTCAGTGGGCCTAGACTTGGGTGGAAGTTCCCTGGTCCCAGGTTTACCCTAAGGTTCGCTGGCCACTTTGTTTATGGGCGTTCTGTCACTTGGCTGGGAAGCAGACTTGCTCTGCTCTCGTCTGAGTGGAGAGGGAGAGGAACGTGAGGAGGGTAGTGAATACAATCCGGGGGTGGGCGCGTGGAGGAGGAGAGTGAGAGACCAGATGAATCACTCAGAAGCATCCTGTCCTAGACATGGGGTCAGGAAGACAGATGGGGCAGGGGCGACAACAGCTGCCCCCTCCCACTGGCGGCTCTTCCTTGAGAAAAAGAGGTGGGGCTGGGAGACAGTCAAACTTCAATGTACCTGGAGGAGTCTACAGGGTGCAGAGCCTGCTCTGCCTCAGGGTCCTGGGGCAGCCCAGCCTCTGGGAGGGGCTCAGCTGACTCCAGCAGCATTGGGGAGGGGATCCAGCCTCCAACCTGTCGCTGGCTTAGCTGCCTTTCTTTTCTTCCATGTGTCACTCAAATCCACCACCTTAGAGTCGTCCTTGCTTCATTCTTTCTCTTACACCCCACAGCAGTTCTTCCTGTTGACACTCCCACCAAAAGCTTCAGAATCACTCCACATCTCACCATCTCCACTGTGACAGCCTAGTCCAAACCACCATCAGACCCCTGCTAGGTTATCTGACTAGTCTCCTACCCAGTAATTCCATTAACATTTAAGACCAATCACATCACTTTTCTGCCCAAAACTCTGCAGGAATGGCTTCCCAGCCAGCTCGGTGCACAAGCAATATCCCATAAGGCCCTGGTGGCCTGCCTCCCTCTCTATCCCCAGCTCTCTCTAGCCTCATCTCCTGCTGCTCCTGTGGCTGCTCACTGTCCTCCAGTCATATGGCCTCCTCACTGCTTCTAGAACATTCCAGCAATGCTCAGACCTCAGGGCCGAGCACAGTCTACTCAGTGGAATGTTCCCACAGATATCTACAGCTCACCCTATGACCTCCTTCTGTTCTTTACTCAAATGCTACCTTCTAGGTGAGGATTTCTCTAAATCCCCTATTTTAGCCTCCTCTCCACACTCCCCACACATTTCCTGATTTTCCTCTATTGCAGATCAACTCACATAGCACACAATAAAGTTTAGTTACTTATTGCATCAATTGCCTGTCTCTTCCCACCAGAACCTAGCCTTCTTGTTCCTGGTATTTACTTAGTGAATCTCTGGTACCCAGAAAAATGCCCAGCACATAGTCAGTACTCAATAAACACTTATTGAATGAACCAACAAACAAACGTCAGACACATTTTGAGAAGTAGGCCTTCACAGAGTAGGAAGGGAAGCCTGGTGAAATGGTATGTGTGTATGTGTGTGTGTGTGTGTGAGAGAGAGAGAGAGAAAGTGTGTGTTTGTGCATGTGCGTGTATGTTTCAGGGATGTTTGACAACCACCTTCACTTGGATTCAACAATTTGTGAGCACTTGATTATTTGTATACATGTTTTAAACTTATTTATTAACCAGAGTCAACCCTTCATTTGTTCTCTTGCTCAGGAATTCACCAGACACTTATGAGGGAAGTTCGGTATAGGTGCTCTGCTAGACATGTGGTAAACACATGATGAAGAGCACAGTCCCTGTAGTATGATAATGAGGGCCCAGCACTTGGAACAGAACTGGGAGGGCCTCAGCATTAACTCAAACGGAACCCAGCAACATCCAATTGGAAACTAAATCCAGTGCAAGAAATTCATCCTAATGTATTTTGCCACCAACAGGAAAAGACATTTGGATGAGTGGCTATGAATGGGAATGTCCCCATCCAGAGATCCTGGAAGAGCGTAGGACTGGTTGTCAAAGGCCTTCATAGAAGTAACACTGTGCTCCTTCCAGTGAGGACAGTCAAGGGTGAGCAACTGTCAACTATGAGAGGGAGCAACATGGGTGACTAGAAAGGCTGCCCTCTCTGAACACAGGAGACCCTGCGCATGGTGTCCTCCCAGTTCTGTGAAAGACAACTCTGACCTTGATATCTGTCTAGTCCTGTAGATGTAACAGGCAGATAACTCCTGACATGGCTGATCTATCTTGCCTTCTTGGAAAATTTCCACTGTCTTTGGTGACCTGCAGAGGGGGATCAAGCCCTTTCTCTGCAGGTGCCCAGCACATGCTCACGTGTACTGACGACAGTTGGGAAGCTGGTCAGGGGACCTGGCATCTTGGCTATCTGCCTGCTTTCGTCAAACCCCTTGACGTGTCAGCTGGACTCAGCAGTTGATGTTTTCACGCAGCGTAACACACAGCCTCGGAGACTCTGCCATTTATTTATTTGTTACTTTTCCACAGCCACCTGCTCCTGGGTGGGTCTGCGGCTCTGCCATGCACTTTCTGGAATCTCCAGTCCTCCCCATACCTTGTCTCTTTTGACCACACCACCAGCTTTTACCCTTCTCCTAACAGCCTCACCCCAACCTTCTGGGCCCCCTCTTTGACTCCAGGGGGTCCGATCTCAAGTTTTTCTGTCCTGGTTGCTGCTTGTGCAAGGCCTCCCGAGGGCCATCAGGCAGGGTCATCCAAGGAAGGGTCTCGTCTTCCAGGGAAGTTGAGGGTTCAGGTCTTCTCTGTTCAGCCACTACCACAAATGTATGCATCAGTCTCCTTTCCAGGACCACCGTGCCCACATTTTCCCTGCCAGGAAGGAAGGAGAACAAAAGGAAGTGCAGTTAGTGACATGATGGAGGGACATATGAGGAACGCCACCAAGAAACATGAGGATTCAGCTTCTTTCCTGGCTCGTCTGATAGTGGCACCGTGATCCCCCATCTCCCATCAGAACCTTATTCCTGGGCTCCCCAGTTTGCTCAGACCATCCTCCCACCACCCACTTGGACCCAGCAACTCACCAGTAACTACTGGACCTGCAGCCTGAAGCCATTTCTGCATGACTTGTCTTTCTACACTGCTGTCCTTCATTCTCTACCTTGAACAGTCCCTTAGTCCCCCGAGAATCAAGTCCAAGCAATCTGCTTGCCTTCCAGACGGCCAAAGTGCTGCCTTCCATACTCCATCCAGCTGGTCTCCCTCTAACACTTCTGGTCATCTACTTACACCTCAGGGGGACATCTCTGATCCTCAACAGGCATTCAGGTAAGGAATAACCCTCCTTCCCTGGAAGAGTCCTTGTAACGGCCTGACTCCTCCCTTATCCCACTCCCCAGAGTGCTTCTGTTTCCCATGCCTACCTTCCTCAGTGCTCCCCTCCAGACCCAATGAAACCCCACCACCCGCATGAGCCTCTCCCGCCATCCCAAGGATGAGTGATCTCTCTCTCTTCTCTGATTTCCTGCCGCTTTGCAGTGTGTTCATTCTCAAGACACAGTGTGGTTGGTTTCTATTGGAAAGTGAGTGAAATTTTCAGCTCAAAGTGTCCGGTGCCTGCCTCTACCAGGCCCTGGGTAAAGAAAACGGAACTCCTCATTTGCCAACCCCGAGGAGATGCGTGTGTCTCTGTCACTAGCACAGAGCACTTCAAGAGCAGGTCCGTGGTTGTCTAAACACAAACCAACCAACATCACCTACAGCTCGGTTTCTGCATGTGTGAAACCGGGCATGACAATGACATGGTTGTTCCAAGTGTGTAGAGCTACCCCAAGATCCAGGTGTTTGTGAAACTGCTTTGGGAAAAGTGAAGAATCACAAGAACTCCAGGTGATGTTATCATCATGCCTATGCCATGGACTCCTGCAGGATGAAGATATCTAATACTTGTAATTTCAATTAATTGGGAGCCTGCCCAAGGGTCCCACATCTGGAGGGACCTCACTGAAGCATGAACTGAAGGCAAGAGCAGACATCCTGCATGGACTAAGAGTCACTGACCTTCTAGCCATGAAAGGACAAGGATGTCACCCAGTGCTTTCAACTGGCCTCACCAGTAGGCAGCAGCTCCTACCCAGGGATTACAAACAAACAGGAGCCAGGCACAGTGGTAAAAGCCTGTAATCCTAGAGGCTCTGGAGGCTTTGGAGGCTGAGGCAGGGAGATCATGAGTTCAAAGCCAGCCTCAGCAACAGCGAGGCACTAAGCAACTCAGTGAGACCCTGTCTCTAAATAAAATACAAAATAGGGCTGGGGATGTGGCTCAGTGGTTGAGTGAGTTCAATCTCTAGTACCAATAAAACAGAAAAGAAAGGGAAAAAAAAAGATGGATGGGGGAGGGGTCCTTCCTAAAGCCCCACAAAAAATAACAGTAACAAAATAATTTTCAAAGAGGAAAGTAGAGGTGAAGTAATAAAGAAAATAAAAACCAGGAGAGTAGATGATGGAAGGAACAGCATTGAACTTGGAAGGCCAAGATTTAGGCCATGCCATTGAAATAGAAGTTGATTAACTCCAGGGAACCCAGAGATGCTCAGAGTTGGAGATATCCCAGTACAACAGAAGCAGGGTCAAAAAATGATCACAGTGAGAAACACCCTTCCAGCTCTCCTCCACCATCTCCGAAAGCCATGCTGCTGCGTGCGCATTCACTAACCTACCAAAAGATGAGACGTTTATTGCAGAGAAACTGGATCAGAAGGGCTGGAGTTGGGAACAGCTGTCACTGTGTAAGACAGGCTGAGGTGGTGCACTGAAAATAGGGGGCTTAAGTTTGTGATGTGAGAGACCACACAATGGACCACTCAGTGGTGAGACAGTCTGCCACCTTCCTTGCTCTGCTCCCAGAACAGTATCAGGCAGATAGTGTCTTTCCTGGAGGAAACAAAGAGTTCCAAAAGAGAAGGACTTACAGCCATTGGTTCCCAGAAGTCCCCAGTAAGAGGTTCTGATCCAGCTTCATCACCTTGTAGTGAGCTCACCACTCAACAAGCCCAGACTCAGAGCCACCAACCAGCTTATTATTAGCACTTCACTCTTGAAAATAAACAGGTATCCTCCTCGTAGGACAAACATCCAAGGAAAGCTTCCAACAGTTCAAAACAGAAGAGAAAAGCGGGGGAAACAGAAAATCCCAGAAGCAGAAAATACTTGGAAAATATTCTAAATCCCCTGATAAATGAGAGAACATTTTACCTATGAAACAAGAATAGACTGTCGTGAAAAAATGAACCGCCCAAGAAGAAAAGATGTTCTTAAAAATCGTAAAAAATACGATAACCAAAATTTAAATGCCAATTGAAGATCTAGAAGACAATGTCGAGGAAGACTTCCAGAAATCAAGACAAAACTATCATGGAAAAAAGTAAAGATAAAGAAACTTGAGAACCAGTCCAGGAGATCCAAAGTCTCATTAATAGAGTTCTAGAAAAAGAAAACAGGCAAAAAGAATGGGAAAAAAATAATGAAATAATTAAAGAAAAATGTTCAACAGTTGAAAAACATGCATTTCAGACCAAGAGTGCTCACTGAACAACCATTAAAGGGGATAAAACTAGTCCTACAAGGTCCAGGACCATGGAATCTAGAAATTAGGATGGCATCAGATGTTACCAAAAGCATCACAAGGAGTTAGAAGATAATGGAGGTGATTTTCAACCTAAAAGGCTATTCTCACCCAAGCAAGTGGTTTCCTAGTCCAGAGGTGAAGGAAAGCATTGGATAAAGTCAAGTTTAAGGTGAAAGTTAGCCTGGTATGTCCACATGAACTAGGAGGAGATTTACATTGCTCAGGAGACATTTACTGAACCCCCACCCTCCTTTTGGGCATCAAACAATGACAAGTATATAAAAAATTAAGCAATAAAAAGAAGATATTTAGCAATTCCATAGGAAAATAAAGTCATGTGAGCAATGAAAAATAATTATACCACAGAACATTAGGTGGCTCGATGAAGAATAATATTTACACAGTCATAATAAAGTAGAACTGAATAGTGAGCTAATAAATATCATGACATTTATACTATAGTGGGTTGAGAAGGTCTATATAGTGGGGTGTTTGTGTATATCATGGAGAGTAATGGTGGGTGGTGTTAAAAAAAGCTAAAAGCTTTCCTAGTAGGAAGTCAATTTTTTAAGACTCGAAAAATAAAAATTAAAAAGCAATGGAAGTGTATTATTAGGAAGCATAGTCACAAGTCTAGATGAAACAGCTACAGAGCTGAAGGAGATTCTATTTGGGAACACAAGAGGGCAAGTTCACGGTTGGCTAGTGGCCTTATTGAATACGTTATCTTTTAAGCTTAGACTAATATTTCAATTTAGAGGAAAAGAAATAACACATGAAAAATTCCCCAAACCAAAAGACACAAGTCTCCAGAATGAAAAACCAAGCTTCTAAGGTTGCCATATTTTAGCACAAGTAAGGACACTCAGTTAAATTTGCATTTTGGATAAGCAGAGAAAAGTGTTTAGTGTAAGTATGTCCCAAATATTACAAACTTTATTTGCAGTTTATCTGAAATTCAAATTTAATAGGCATCTTCTATCTTGTCCAGGAAGCCTATACCCAACACATCCACATGAAAGCACAGAGCCATGATTGCAAAGTACCAAGAAAAAGAGAACACGTTAACACTTGAGGGGGAGGGGGGGTCACCTAAAAAGAAATCAGAAAAGCACTGACATCTCACGGCAAGACTGGAAGTTAGGAAGGAGAGGAGGAAGGCCTCCAGAATTCCGAGGCAAAATGATATCCATCCTGGAATATTATAGCCATCCAACCATAAATGAAATTTCAGAATTGAACAGAGGCATTGTGAGGGAAAGGTTAAAAACCCTAGTTTCTACTTACCTTTTCTTAGAAGCTGACTGGAGGATTTCCCTTCCCTAAAAGGAAATAAATCAAGAAAGAAGGAAACATAGTCCAGGAAAACAGAAACGCAACATAGAGGAGAAGGAAAACAAATTCCCATGATACTGGCTTTGCTGGGGCAGAGAGAAAGCAGGCAAGATGGATAGGGAGAATGGAAGGTTCCAGAATGAAAGATTTTAGGGGGAAATAAAAGAACCCACAGTGTGATGCATTCTATACATTCAGTGTGATATGACACACACAAAAAAAATGGTGTCTAGAGGGATTTTTCAACTCAGTCGGAGAGTTCGGAACAAATTATAAATAGGAACACAGAAAATTAATCAGGTGAAGAAAATGAGGCTATTATTAACAAAATGTTTACAAGAGATTAAATGAACATTATCATAATGCACTGCTTGGCAATGCAGAAAATAATACTTGATAATGATAATGACATAAACACTGAACACTGACTTAAACAAAATATTATGTGGGAGGCAGAGAAAGCAGTAGAAGACATATGGCTTCATGGACAAACACAAGAGGTAATGTTCTACCTCTCAGAGTCAAGGTGTTAAGAGTAGCCCTAAATGATCTGTCAGTCCACCTTACCACTCTAACCTTAACCCTTAGTGCTCTCCCACGACTTACTTTGCTCCTGCGGTGAGGACCATAGGATGTTCTCTTCCTCAATTATATCACATCTTCCCACCTCAGGGCCTTTGCACATGCTGTTCCCTTTGCTTAGCATGCCCTTCCCCATGTATCCACAGGGCTCCCTCCTCCTGTACTCCAGATCTTTTCTCAGATTTTGTTTTCTCAGTAGCATCCCCCATTCTCCCACTTCCTTATTAAGGTTGCATTTTATCCCTGATATTCCCTATGTCACCCTCACCACAGTTTATTTATCATTCATAAACTTCTGTAAATAGGATACTACTTCTATAGAAAG